AAGGGGTTCAATCGAAAGCGGTTGAACGATGCAAGATAATGGCAGCAGTCAAAAGGACAGTTTCATGACAAAATGGCCACTACAAAGAAAGTGGGTAGTTATAGGGCGATCAAGTAGTTTTTTAGAGCAGTTAATCACAAAGGGATCGCCTATGAAGTATAAAAGGGAGAAAGAACTTAGAAGCAAAGGACCGAATCCAAAACTCTCGAACAGAGAATATGTAATTTTCATTCCTTTAGCTTTTAGACTTAAACACTTCCTTTTCTGTAACTCGTGTGCTTGCGCCCCTTGGAGGCACGTTGTTTTCCGTTTCCAATTGTAAAGTTCATCGCCAATAAAAGGAACACCCCTTTTTGGGACTTTGTCTCAAGAGGTTTCGTCCCTTACACAATCGTCTGATCCTCTTTAATTGTTAGCGAATTAACACGCGCGAAACAACTTTTAATTAGGGCCGGCCCTGATATTTTGGAAGTCTTATGCCAACTTTAAATACGGGACCCTATTGAAGAAAAATCATCGCATTTTTACTTGAGCCTTCCTATAGAGAGTTTTAATATACTCATGAAGAATCTAATACAGACAACTAAACCCCAGAATTTGAAGAGGAAAATAACGAAATGTCAAAAGTTAACATGCAATACAAATTATAGTTGAAGTTTGATAAATTAAATTATAATGCAATGGCAAAGGGGATTGTTCGTTACTTTAATCATTTTCTCACTACAACTATTTAAAACAAAATTTAATATGCATTTGTTTGATTTATGTACAAAATCAAATAATGTTGACTGCGAGATATTGTATAACAAAATAATGAAAATGACGATAAAAGACAAATGAGCTCCTAATTTTATATTAATTCATACTAAATTAATTTAAAACTGAGAAGTATGAACGCGGACAAAGAATTATTAAATTCAAAGTACCTTTAACAAGCATCTAAAATGTTATTATCACGATATTAAAGCAAAACAATAATAATAACAACCTATAAACTTTGTAATATATGTTTTGTAGATAAATGATAAATTGAAAAACTTGTAAGGCTACTTAGTTATACTAGACCAATCTATTACATTGAATTTTCAAAATTTTAAGTCCACATGAGATAATTCATTTTTTGTTGGTTTGAAAAAAAAAAAATTATGATAGGTTACTGTTGGACATAGAATTTGAAGAGACAAAGAGACATTTTTGTTTTGTTAAGGAAAGAAAATGGATGTTTGGACGATAAATGGTCAAATTACTTAGAGAGAGTAATGTTTGTGATATATTTATATGATAAATAAATGTAAGTGATAAGCTTTATACCATTTATATGTTTTTATGAAGATTTTTGTATTTTCAATTTTTATTAATTTCTTGTGTTTGTATATTAATAATTCTATTTTAAAGAATTTCAGAAATTTAATTTTTGTTTTTCGTCAACCAATTAACCTTACATAATTTGGAGTCCTCATTTAAGTGGGGCTTTAGGCGATCGCCCATCTCGCCTATAGTTAGGGCCGCCATTGCTTTTAATAAATGAAAGTGAGTTTTTAGTTGATTTGTCATCAACTAATTATAATTATGTGCCATATCAGCACATTGTTTCTCACATTAGCGAATCCATCGAATTTTTAAGTATGAGTCATTTAGTGGTGAATGGGATAATGATTTGATAAGTTTCTGATCATCCAAAAAACTTTCAAAGTTAAATATCTTAACGATTTGAAAATTTGGCGATCATCCGAAATTTTTTTAAAGTTTAATAGTCAATGATATAACGATCTCATAAATTAAATGAAAATTCGAAAAAATTTTAAAGTTCAATAAACAACTAAAAATTATATTACAAAATTCAATGATCATTTGAATTTTTAACTAATGATCTCGCCACTAGTATTGCCACCAGTAACACAACCGCAACTCCTCATCTACACAAATATTAAGGAAACAATTTTGAGAATTTTTAAAGAAGGATCAATTGAAGGAGAATTAAAAAAGGGTGATTATATACACATCACATTTGTTTTTAATAAATACACTATATTTTAAATATTAAATGTTATTAACTTTTATCCATTATCCCATTTATATTCTTAAGGGCAATCTCTTCACTCCCCCGATAGTCCCAGAACATGAAGCGCAAGTGTGCTTTGTTTTTTTTCTTCATCACATTCTTATTTTTAATAATTCATTGATTAGAAAATTTTGTCCATAATCGTGATTTTCGTTCAAAACTGCTAATATAATGTTTTAAAATGAAAGTCAAATATTTAATCGCATTTTTGTATTATTATTTTTTTGTTATTATTTATTTATTTAAAAATACAGTGGACAAAATGAGTTTTTTTACTCTTAAATAAAATTTTGTAGAGAAATCATAAACAAGAACAATTTATGATAATTTCAAAATAAGAATGAGAAGAAAAAAGATTGAGACATAAATGTGATAATGTGCAAAGATTTTGAACTTTTCATGTAGATAAAATTCAGTCTAAATATTAAAAATTGTAGCGCGATTTGTATACAAGTGTCCTACTTTCTATAGTCAAATTTGTATAACGCAAAATTGAACATTCGGGTTGCTTTTTGCCTTATGTTCATTTTTAATCGTCTGTTTTTCTCATCTCCCCGTGTGGATATGCGTGCAACAGAGTCAGCTCAATCATTACGAGTCACCAAGACAATTAGCGCATGTTTGGTGGAATTAAAATCTAAATTACAGTTAACTACATATATAATAGAATTCATAACTTTTCAATCCCATATTTTAATGACTTTTATCAAATCTATAAAAAAATGTGAAAATTACATAATAGTTGGGATTTAAGGATCACAATTCAAAAACTAGGGATCAAGTTTCATTATGCAAAAATCAGGTATTGATATAATAATTAAATATCCAAATTTAACTCCCAAACTCTAATAGTTTTCATCTATCTTCCTTCTCTCACTTCTCTCGCCTCTCTCTAACTTCATTGTGTCCCTGCCAATCACCACCACCGATGGTGACGCCTCCTTTTCTCTCCAATGTGGCCGTCACAACAACAAGTGTGGCGGCATCAGGGTGTGGTGGTGGTAGTAGTAGTTTGGTGCTGCTATGGTTTTCACTCGTGGTAGCGTCGAGGTATGGTCGTAGTAGTGGTGGTTTGAGACTGTTATGATTTTTAGCGGTGGCGACGTTAGGGTGTGGTTGTGGTGGAGACTCCTTGCCACGAAGTGAGCGTCGTGATGTTAAAACTTTGGTCGTTTTTATTTCTGGTGTGATTTTCAGCAATGGCGACGTCAGAGTGTGGTGGTGGAGGCTGCTTCTGGTGCTGGTAGTGGTGGTTTGGGGCTATTATGAATTTTGACGATGGAGGCGTCGTGGTGTAGTGGTGGTGTTGATGCTACTTGTGGTGGTGGTAGTAGTGGTTTGGGACTGCTGTGGTTTTCAATAATAATGGCGTCGGGGTGTGGTAGTGGTGGTTTGGGGGTGGTTTTAGTGTTGTTGGGGGGTTTTAGGTGGTTTTTGTTGGAAGTACAGGTGAAGGTGTTGATGGTGGTGGTGTCAGATGATGGTGGTGGCGGCTAGGGCGGTTGCAGGTGAATATAAACCGATTATTTGGATATATGTGACCAAGTATTAAACTATGATCTTAAATTTTGATAACTTGTGACTGAAATATAATTTATGACCAACAATTTGAAAATTTGTGATCGATAGTAAATCGTGACCTATATATATTTTTTTTTATTTGTAACTAATGAAATAAACTGTGACCTATAAAAATTTTGATTTGTGACCTCAAAATAATCTGTGACCAATTAATTTTACAATATGTGACCAGTAAAAAAGTTGTGACCTATAATCATGTATATGTAACCATTAATTGTATAACTGTGATTTTATTATATTTAATTAATAAATATTTTTAATCACACACACGTATATTTGAATTTTGAATTTTTAAACTATACATCTCATTTTTGAATTGGTGTAAATTATACACCTGAATTATGATTTTTTCCCAACAAAAATCTCATTTTAAGCCCATCAAACATGGACTTAGTTTATTAAGGCCCCAAAATTTACATTTTTCAATTTTTTCTTTAAAAATTCTATCAGTAATTAAGAATATATAAAAATAAAGATTACGAATGATTTTTCAGTTACTAACATTAAATGCAAATAATTCAACAAAATATTTTTTTCAAAAAAAAAAAAAAAAGAAAAAAGAAAAGAAAAAATATTGAGAACGAAATTAAAGTTAAAATAAATAACCTCTCAGTACGATAATATTACAAGAAAAAAACAAAAAGATATCAAACTTATCGGTCAAAAATTTCTAACTACTAAATTAAATAAAATTTTGTGAGCGACATCAACGGAGAACCATTGATGACTGAAGCACCGCAATTGATTCCTGATATCATTTTCATGGACAATCACATCTTTTACCTTTCAAAGGGTCCAGTTTTTATAGACAGGTGTGATCTATAGTAGGAAAAGTACATGCTCAAAGTCTATGTTCATGATACGATTTTCAACTCAAATTCGTAGAATAATCAGTTACTTTTTTAATGTATACATCAACATGGAAAACGTAATATACAAACACTACAGAGTTTTCAAAATATGATTCTAAACATGATTAGCCGACGTATAGTTCAGCCTTGCCATCAATGAAAAGGCTCATAAACTCTTCTCCATCAACAGTTTCTTTCTCGATTAGCAGTTGAGCGAGTTCGTGTAGAATGTCAATGTGCGTAGTCATTATTTGCTTGGCCCTTGTATATGCTGTCTCTACCAACTCTCTCACTTCTGCATCGACAACATCAGCAGTTGCCATGGAGTAGTCTTTCTGGGTCGACATCTGCAGATGGCGACTCAGCTTTAATAACAAATTTAATTACGAGATCAATGGAAATATTATAGAGACGTATTATGGATTAAACCTTATTCCTTGACTCCTGGAGTAATGATAAATAAAGAAGAAATCAGGGGAAAAAAAAAAAAAGAAGGAACAGATTTATATAGAAGTTAAGCCTCCGTACGCTCAAGATTTTAACTATAAGAAAGAAGGGTTACAATATAATTAGGTTCCACAGGATCCAACAATGAGCAGCATAAAAAGTACCTGCTGACCAAGGAAGGGATTTCCACCAGGTCCACCGATGGCTACTTGTCCGATCTTTTTGCTGAACCCAAATCTCTCGACCATCTGCCTAGCCACCCTCGAAACTTGCATAAAGTCATTTGATGCCCCAGTTGTTACATTGTCCGATCCAAATATAACCTCTTCTGCAACTCTGAATGAAAAACAGGGTGAGGAACGAGATTTAGGTAACGTGCAAGGAACCACGAAATGACTGAAGAACAACACGATAATTTTCTGCATTTTCTCATCCAAATTTATCAGCATAATTGTTCATTTCTTGTCGAGCATAATCATATGTGGACAAAGAAAGGAAGAAAAATACATCATCTACATACAGCAAGGCAATCTCCATGGACATTTCAAGCAGTAAGCAAACTTTGACATACTAATTATGAGCAATAATCAACAAATTAGTGGATGTTTGGTTTGTAAAAATCGATAGAACTGAACAGTATAGCAAACAAGATTTAACTTCTGTACAATACTGTTCACTACTTTCCTATACTCCCTCCCAAACTTGCAATTAAGTTATTCTTAGTACATGTAATCCAGATTCAGGGAGAAAATTTGTATATTAAATCACGCACATTTTATCAAAGACTGGGAAAATGCCAACTGACCTTCCACCCAGAGCGACAGCCATCTGATTCTCTAGGTAGCTTCTACTGTACAACCCTGACTCTAGCCTCTCTTCACTCGGAGCAAAAAAGGTCAGGCCACCAGCTTGGCCACGAGGAATGATGGAGATCTTTGCGACTGGATCATATTCTGGCATAAGAGCACCAACTAAAGCATGACCAGCCTCTGTAATGAAATTCAAACACTGCAGTTAGAAGGCCAATAAATAGCAAGACAGCCTTGCTGCATATTGAAGTTCAATGTCTTTATATACCATGATAAGCAACCAGCCTCTTCTTTTCATCAGAGACAACTGCATTTTTCTTCTCTGGTCCAGCAATTATTCTCTCAAGGGCATCAGATATCTCATCTTTGCTTATCTCCTTAAGATCGCGGCGTGCTGCAAGGATGGCCGCTTCATTCATCAGATTTTGCAAATCTGCCCCGGTGAAACCTGGTGTTCTCCTTGCAATCTTTTCAAAGTCAACATCTTTCGCAAGAGCCTTACCTCTGGAATGCACCTATCATACCAAAGATAACTGGTGCATTAACTTACCGAATATAAGTGTACCACACAATCATCTCTAGTGCATTAACTCAAAATTTGAATTTAGGTGGATAGAATAAACAGGTCTAGTTAATATGTGGATGTGGCAGTTGAATAATGGAATCCTCCCCTAATTGCTAAAAATAATATAATTAGCATGCCAATTTTTTATAAGTGGCTTCCCTGAGTCAGAACACAGGTAATACTGTAATAGCAAATCCTGCCATCTTTAATTTCACATAGCAGATAAAATTAGGCAAAGCAAGGTATGCTCCTAACCGTTCACAAACATACAGGCATCATGCTAGGATTTTGTCAAACATGGATTCAATTTACTTAAAATTTGCAGTTTTTTCTTGCATATATAACAATATTTCAGATAATACCAATGGCATCCATAATTAACTCCATGAAAATAGACTGCGTTTGAATCAATAGCATGAAGATACTAAATATTTAGGGAATAAAGCTTGATAACCTGAAGAATCTTGACTCTACCAGCAACATCAGGCCTGTCCACAGTGACCTGCCGATCAAACCTTCCAGGCCTTAACAATGCCGCATCAAGAACATCTGGGCGGTTAGTTGCTGCCAACACTATAACACCTGAATTCCCTGAGAACCCATCCATTTCAGTCAAGAGCTGATTGATAGTCTGCTCTCTTTCATCATTCCCACCTCCAAGTCCTGCCCCTCTCTGCCTCCCAACAGCATCAATCTCATCAATGAACACAATGCAAGGCGCTTTTGACTTTGCTTTCTCGAACAAATCCCTCACTCTTGAAGCTCCCACGCCTACAAACAATTCCACAAACTCTGAGGCTGCACATGAAAAGAATGGCACCCCAGCCTCACCGGCAACAGCCCTGGCCAAAAGGGTTTTCCCGGTACCAGGTGGACCAACCAAAAGACACCCTTTTGGAATTTTCGCACCCAGAGCGGTGTACTTATCGGGATTTTTCAAGAAATCAACCACTTCTTGCAACTCCAATTTTGCTTGATCAGCCCCAGCAACATCAGCAAATGTGATACCAGTCTCCGGCACCTCCTGGAACTTAGACTTCGACCGGCCAAAATCCATCGGCCCTCCTAGACCTCCAGGTCCACCTGGCCCACCCTGTGCCCGCCTGAACAAAAAGAAAAGTCCAGCAAAGGCAATGAACGGGAAGATCAAATTCCCAATAAAACTAAACAATCCATTTCCAGAATCACCCTCAGAAACCGAAATATCAACACCATTCATAGCCAAAATGTCAATTAAATCCGGGTCATTGGGCACAGTAACAGTAGCCCTACGGCCATCCACTGCTGTGAGCTGAAGGGCACTTCCGTCTTTGCTGAACCTCACCCTCTCAACCTTCCCCTTCTTGACTGCATTCAAGAACTCACTATAACGCCAATTGGATCCGTCAGGGAGATCAGAAGTCGACTGGGCCTGTGGCTTTGGGGCTGTCAAAACAAGATTCTGAGAAAAGGGCGACGATGGACCAGGCTTGGGCGCCTCAGCTTGAAGAACAGGCGGCGCAGCCGCAGGAGGGGTGGCATCATCTACTGCCAAGGCTTGTGGAGTAATTGAAGAAAACAGTAAAGCAGCTAAAGTGGTATGTGATTGAATATTCTTGAAAGATTTCGAATTCTTGTTAAAAATCGAATCTTGTACGAGGAATTTTCTTGGAACGGTTTTAGGTGTAGGCGGAGAAATAAAAATTTTGGTGCCAAAAATGTTGGAGGACAGTAAAGGATTCGTTGATGATAAAGCCATTAGAGGTTCTGAATTCAAATTCAGCTTCGATTTTTTCCAATTTCCTTGAAGCCAGGAGTATTTGGGGAAGATTGAAAAGGAAAATTCGATAGTAAGAAATGGAAAATGAAACTGTCGGGGTATTACTTTTGTGGGAAGAGAATAATGGGCAAGAAGGAAATAAATTGGTTTAAGAGTGAATGGAAGCCATAGAAATGGATGTAGCTCGGGTTGCCTCTACGTGTGTGGAATGTTATCCAGTAATACTGCTTTGATTTTTATGTACATATGATGATTGATGAAAACGGTCGGGAAGAGAGAGCACACACGCCCAAAAATAAAAAATAAAGCGAGAGAGAGTGAGTCTTGAAAATACACATTTTTTTCCCATTTCTTTTTAGAGTTGGCAACGGTTAAAATCATCATCGAACTATCAATTTTTTAGTCATATCATAATCGCACCATAACCACTTAAGTTGGTTCGGTTCAAGCGATTAATAACCATAAAAATAAATTATTTTTATAGGTTTAGACGAGAAATTAGAAAAAAAAAATTATGAAAAAAGTCAATGAAAATAAAAAACAATATTAAGCTAATTTTGCAAACAATATCCCAAATGAAAATGGAAATAATATCCAAATTCCCAAATGCAAAATCCGAATTTAACAGACAATATTAATAATACTAAACAATATCCTTGCCCCTTGATCATTGTGCATCGAACTTGATTTCCACTCAATAATTTAAAAGCTTCAACCTCAATTCATATTTAATCTAGGGCTGGACAAAATCATAAAAAGAATAATGGAAAGCCCAATAGTCGATTTTTTTTAATAGGTAATCGGTTCGAGGCGGGACGACGAAGTAAATACCACACCCGTCTCACCCTAAATCGGGACATTAAAATCAAATATCATATCCACCACATTGAGCCATCGTTTCGATTTTTTCACACCATTCGATTCGATTAACTGCTATTTTCGATTTTGACAGTTCGAATTGTCATTTCTATTTCTTTCTTTAAAACAAAAATGTTTTATTTTATTTACGCGACAACTTCTTGAATCGAGACCCTTGGGTCAACTTCTCCTTCCGCCTAATTTCCTAACAATTTGTGTGTGAAATTTGTTTGATTCCACAAGTTGATACCCATGTTCAATTACATAAACGTTTATCAATTGTCCATGACAATATGGTTTATGCACATCCACCTCACTAAACCATTAGATTATCAATTCATCAATAAAAATCAACATTTTTGTGTGTAGTTTATTCTCAATTCATGCATAACTATTAGATCCAAGCTAACACCTAATCCAACTGTGTATAGTGGCCTATTCACATTGATTCTGTTTACGAGGGATTAATGTGGAGGCATGTATCTTCACACTGTTAAATCTTGTTCTTAATAATAGTGAACTTGTTAGGAACCAAGGTTGTTCGTAAATCATTAAAACCAATCCAAATAAAAAAAATTTGTCTATAATTGATCATCTAATTTCCCGCAAATGAATGAGATCTTGAACAAGTAATAAAGTAGTAAATAAAGTGTCGAACCTACGAAGACTATGTATTGATCAAATTAAAATTAACTACAACTTTAATCGAATATTAAACAAGTTGCTGTAATTTTTCTAACTAATATATAAATTATCAATTAAACTACAAAGCAACTAATGTGTTTTGTCAAATATGTGAAAGTATTGCTAAAATATCGAATCCTTCTTGTTATTCCACTTTTTGTGTAACAATTAAATTGACATTTTAAAATCATCTATGTTGATCAATATTCCTAATTTAATTGAAAGCCTCTCTCGGAAGTGATCAAATCAATTCCCCTCGTGACCTTTCCATCTCTTGATGAAAGATGCAAACATGATAAATACATTAACAAGTGTTAGAACACCTATTGAAACCATATAAAGCATATATATCTTTATTTTTTTATCGAACCTTACAATATTTATTATATTTTGCTTAAATCCTATTGTCTCTCTTGATAACAATAAAATCCACTAACAATTCAATTGGTGATCAAGCAATTGAAAAAAAAATGATAAAAACGATAAACATTCACAAATCAAACCAAATTAAAGTCAAAATAATTAATTAAAAACTAAAAGTATATAACAATGATTCATCTTATCTTAGCAATGTATAAAATTAGCCTAACATATTGAAATTATAAGAAATTATATTCAAGAGAAAAAACATAACCCGAATTTTTGATAAATTGAGAAGATGAAGATGAAGATGAAGATGAAGATGAATTTTGAATCTCTTCAATGGTTTTCTGATGAATCGCCACTTGTGCCCTCTTTTCTTTGCCTAAAAACCAAGTTTAAATCTTTAATTGATTGAATTCTTGCAATTTCCCTTAATGTATTCTGCTGATAAGTATTTGTAGGAGCCAAAAATTGGTTATAAATCACTTCCAAATTGGTTTCTAAAAGATTTCCAATTGAATAAGGAAAGTTACTTTGCAAGCGGATTTTTTTGGTCTCTGCACACTAGTTAGTATTTTGATCATAACTTTGTCTCTCGATATTCGATTGAATTGATTTAAAATTCATTGGAAAGCTAACTCCAAGGGCTATAATTTTTTCAATTCGGATATTTTCTATGCCAAAAATGTGTCTCAATCTTTGACTAAAAATCTAGAAGATATCTTATGTCACTGGAAGTCGATTTATAGTAATATTCTGATTATATTCCATTCCTTTTTTACTTTTAATTGTATCCAATTGGCTCATATCAATTTTCAAAGTATCTATTGTGGTCCAAATCAACATTTGGATATTTGCAATCTGGTCTTCAAATTTTGTACTACGCTATTTTTAGCCCTTTTCGTCTCTTTCTTCCAAGTCAACTTCCAGCCATCAACTTTTACCTAGTAAACGAAATATATAAGAAATTAGGTTGTAATTGCTTAAAGAACTATTAAATGTCAATATTTTAAAGTCCAAATAAGTGTATAAAATGTACTCATCAAATACCCTCCAAATTTAAACATTTGTTTGTCCTCAAACAAAATCATAACCTAACTTAACAAACACACAAACGTACAAAATGTTTTGGTTAAATAATTTGACTTTATACCTCTTGATTTGAAATTATGATATTAAATCTATGAACAGTTTCAAGGTTACAATACCAAAGTCAATGTCCACTTTTCAACTGTAAAATTGACGTGAGAGTGTGAAGAATTAAGTAATCAATCATGAATACACAAGTTGTTCCAATTCCCGACCCTCTGTGATCAAATATATCCTTTCATCTCTTGCATGATTTATGAACCACCAATTATTTTTCTTTTCGCTCGTTCTCAGTGTGTAGTCTAAGGTTGAATTAATTGTTACTATCCATACCATCTCTAGTTTAGGCGAACATCACAAGTTGCAAGTCAACACATCAATGAACAAGAATTCTCTAATTATTTGATTGCTTCAATCCTCAAGGATTGACTAGAATTATCTTTCATAGAAAGTCAAATTCGCTTAAACAAATGTTAGGGCTTAGCCAAGGCATTTAGTACTTTTGTTTTTCTTATGTGACTTATTTTTTCTGATTATCAAAAGTATTATATTATTTATTTTATTGCACTCTCTCCCTTAAACTTTCTAGATGATCTATGTAGTACGCTTTAGGTCAATGACTCCCAAGTCAGGTGACTTTAGGGCACCATGTTTTGAGATATCCTTGCACGCTTAATAACCCAAGCAACAAAAGGCTTCAAAGAGAATTTGTGTAACTACATCTCTGATTGCTTTCTAATTGATCCCTATATCTAGTTTTAGACCGATAATTCCAAATTCGATGATTTTAAGGCACCAGATTTTAAAATACCCTTGCAGGCTTAATTACTCGAGTTATAAAGATTTCAAAGAGAAGTTTTAAGAATTATATGCTTTGATTAGTGCAATGCCCCTTATCACACACCTATTTAAGCAAATGAACCTCCAACTTAAGATTTTCGTCCAATTTATTCTTATTAGTCTAAGACAATCCATACAAGTTTTTTCACACAAGGAATTTACATTCACATCCGTATCTTCATACAACAATAAAATCACCCCCAAACTGTGCTAAATTTGGTCTAAGAGTAAATAATTTAGTGTGATTTGGGTTTGACATCTATGTTTATTTTTTTTCAACCCATTCGGCATATGAATCAACTTGTTACATCATGATATAAAACTTAATTCTTGTGTGCATATAATATTACATTCTACAAGGTTGAGTTTCAATAAGTCCAGTATGTATCCTATCCACAGTTCATAAATCAACATCAAATCTTAAATCAAATTATCATTTTTGGTCAGACTATCTAACCCACACAAGCACACAACATATTAAAAAAGAAAAGAAATATTTTTATATTAAATCAAAAACACAAAATAAACAAACAAAAACACAAAAACATACGAAAATAAAAAATACTCCAAGTATTTCCTACCCCAAACTTAAAATCGACATGGTCATCAATGTCCTAAAGCAAAAGTAAGAATATAAGGGGACATGGATGAAAAGAAAGAAGGTATTCCCCGAATTTGTATGTTGAATGTGGAAGACACCATGGGTAATGGCTCGACAATTCTACTTTTTCTTTGGTCTATGTTGGTTTGAGTGTTCCACAACATCATGTTCCTACACATAACGGTCAAATTAAACATTAAAAATCAAATAACTCAGAACATGTGTTACTTAGCCCAAACAATCAAAATAACCAACAATAAATTCAAGGGTTGAAAGAGAAACATAATAGGATGGTAATACCCTATAAAGTTAAAATAGTCTAAGTCTAATGCAAAATAATAATCAAAATAAATCTATATGCAATGCGATACAGAAAGCAAAATAAATAAAAGGGTTAGAAAATTGGATTGCTTTTCAATAAGCGCTTAATTTATAGTCTTTAGCTAGACTATATGGAGGAATTGATCATGGTAGTTCATGTTGGAACTGTGCAACCTTACACTCCTTGCAATTTTCATCTTTTCATCCTCTTTTTGCCCTCCAAATCTCGAACTCTTCATTCTTCTCTCGTCCAAGGTTTCCCTAGATGTTTAGATTTTGTCTCATTCGAGCCTTGTTGACCTTCTTCAACAACAAATTTAGCCTCCTCAAGGCTTGCTCTTTGCTTGGATTGGTCATGTAGTTTAAAGACTTCGTGTGCATTATCCACCCTTACTGTAAGTTTGCCTTCTCTATATCAATCAATGTTCGGCTTGTTGTTAAGAAAGGTCGACCTAGGATTATTGG